TTTTTGCAGATTTGGATATTACGGTAACAAATCACAGCAATTTCATTCTCATGAAAGTTGAACATGTTAAAAGCTATTACGAAATGAACCTGCAGAATTGTTTCCACATTTTTCCCAAATTATTTGATCAAGACTTACAGTCAATGTGACATTATATCAATTTGATTGAAAATTAACAAAATAATTACAGAAAAATGCATAAATTATGCAGAATGTTGCAGGAAAATTGTGGAGTTCAAAACATTAACTACTGACAGTAATTTACATTAGATTAATTATTGTAATAGTACAATTTTATTGGAGTGTATGTTTGTTGTAACTTGTGTGCATGTTACCATGACAACACTAACTTAATAGTCACCAGGTGTAAAGCATTAAATGTACTCACTAAATGAGGGTTTCTATTTCTGTTAAATTTGCTGTGAAAGCTTGCTTGTAGTAAATCTCATGTCTTATATAATAATGTGTACTTTTTACTCATTTAGTAAATCTATGCTAATCACCAGGATTGAACGACATCACCATTGTACTATGACATCATCTATGACATCACCCATTTATATATGACATCATCTAGTACCAATGACATCAATTTATAATGGCCCTAGAAATGCATTTTTAAATCACCAAGTCTATGACATCATCAATATGCAATGACATCACCAGTGGTTTTGACACCAGTATACAAATGATATGTTACCACTTTGATATGACATCACCACAACACTTTACCATTATTGGTACTCTGTGACATCATTAGATCTCAGTGAAATCATCAGTAGTCTGTAACATCATAACAACATACATGTACATCACTACTTCATAGTATTTAGGACTTAGACTTAATTTTCTTTTTTAATTATGCCATAGGCTGGAAGAACACCACTGCATCTTGCTGTCACTGATGGACATGTAGAGGCAATAAAGGCATTGATAGAAGAAGGATGTCCTGTCGACCGGCAGGATCAGGTGGTAATGTCTCATATTTTAATGATTTTCAAATTTAGGGGGATATGCAAGGGTATAGTGCTAGTTTTTGTATGAAGCATTAAAATGTTTGGTATCTAAGGTGTATTCGTTTTCAAACACTTCAACATTGGTGTATTTAAACCCAACAGTGGTGTATTTGCACTCAACAGTGGTGTATTCACACTCAATAGTGGTGTGTATTTACACTCAATAGTGGTGTATTTACACTCAATAGAGGTGTATTTACACTCAATAGTGGTGTATTTGCACTCAATAGTGGTGTATTTACACTCAATAGTGGTGTATTTACACTCAATAGTGGTGTATTTACACTTAATAGTGGTGTATTTACACTCAACAGTTGTGTATTTGCACTCAACAGTTGTGAGTTGTGTATTTACACTCAACAGTGGTGTATTTGCACTCAACAGTTGTGAGTTGTGTATTTACACTCAATAGTGGTGTATTTGCACTCAACAGTTGTGAGTTGTGTATTTACACTCAACAGTGGTGTATTTGCACTCAACAGTTGTGAGTTGTGTATTTTCACTCAATAGTGGTGTATTTGCACTCAACAGTGGTGTATTTGCACTCAACAGTGGTGTATTTGCACTCAACAGTTGTGAGTTGTGTATTTTCACTCAATAGTGGTGTATTTGCACTCAACAGTGGTGTATTTTCACTCAACAGTGGTGTATTTACACTCAACTGTAAGATTATTGCTGAGGAGTAATTATGTTTACTGTTCTTAATGCATACCATAGCTTTGCATATATGCTCATTATTCTAATAAAAAAACCACTACTATAGTTTTTAACTGCCAGTCACTGTTCATGTTAGGGCATCATCAAAATGTCACATAAAAAACTTAACTTCCTGAATGACCCCTTTTCAATTTTATTTGCAAACATGGCCCATCAGGTTTTATAAAACTTCTGCCAGTGAAATCGTTTGTATTTTTTCACCTATGTATATAATTCTTTCGTTGAAAACTGCAGAAAATTGGGAAACTTTGTTAAGGGACATGAATAAATGTTTTGTAAATGAAAAGTTACAGCAAAAATAAATGCAGTTCGAAACCTCAGATAACAAAAAAATTAATTTCCTGAATGACCCCTTTTCAATCTTATTTGGCAACATGTTTCAATTTGTGTAGTATCTTAAAAAAAAAACATCAAAATATAATGGCTGCATACTCTCAGTGCAAAAAGGCATTTCCTTCATCTTTATAAAATATGCAGTTGAATCTATATAACCAGCCAATCAATGAGCACGGTGCACAAAATGTCATTTGAAAATGTTCCAATGTTATCCAATCAGCCAATCATAAAGATGAAGGAAATACCTTTGTTGCATTGAAGGTAGTGAAAAATTGTTTTTGTAGGATAAGAACTGATTTAGGGTAACCCCCCCCCCCCCTCCAAAAAAAAAACAAAAACAAAACTCATTCTGCATTCTACATTGAACTTTTGACATTGCCTCAAAATGTGAAAGCCGACTTTGGTATTAAAATGTGTGAAGATGCCTAACTGGTAAATAATCTCTTGGTGGTAGACCCCGGAGCTACAATTAAAGAAGGGTAGGACCCCTATTGTAAAACATTCCATGCTGACCATACTAATAGTATCACTTTACACTCACATCACACACAGTAGTGTAATCCGTTCCACTATAATAATCAGTCAAATTCACAGTGAATTGTTTCATAGCAAACATAAGACAACTTAAAACATTAAGTTCTTTGTCAATATAGACAAACAGAAAATAGTATTGAGTTAAAATTATGATAACAATTTGTAAACTTGAGACTTGATTTGATTGTGTCTTTTTTAAAATTTATTCCATTTCTAATTGTGTATGTTTTTATACAAATTAACGTGCCATGGTAACTAATTGATACATTTCAAAAATTTAAAACAAATACACTCTAATTCCTTAGAATATACTCTTGTTTATATACGCATATTAATTTAACATGGACAATATATTCTTGCCATACAAGTCATTTCATGTCAGACTACAGTGCACACAAATGGTGAAGTAAAGTAGTCGCTTGGGTTACACAAAGGCCTGTAAAATAATAGCTTATAAAGAACATACAGCCCCATGTACTTCCACATCGAAGTTGAAACGTCAGTCAATTGTCGAGAATAGAAAAACAAGGATGCAGGTGATAGCATTAGTGCATGTGACCTTTGACATATTTACCAGTGACCTTTGACCTATTTGCATGCCACTTTCGAGAAATAGTTAAAACCTGAAGTAGCAAGAGGTATTTCAGTATGTTTTTAGGAGACTTGCATTACCTGAGTATGTATATTGCTTTTATATATTACGAAGTGTACTCATCTGTTTGAATGTTGCTAACGACGACAAAAGTAAGAAGTCAATAAGTATCTGAAGTCGACATACAATAGGTGTGATAGCATAGCATAGCATCGCATAGCATCGCAATCTATTAACCGTAATCTGATATCTACTTCTCAAGATCTATACTTCATGTAATAAAACAGCTTTTATTAGGAAAAGGTAGAATGTTTTTATGAAAGCAATCACTTTTGGTAGTTGTTGTCAGCCTGGCTTATCGTCGTATTAAATTTACCAATTACATTTCACCTGGCACTTTTATAGAGGACCTCACACCATGGGTCAGTGCAACACACTTGAAATACTGGGACTTTTCTGCGGTGAATAATCGTTAAGAATACCCCTTTGGTTATGGTCTGAGTTCTCTTATGTGTTTGCCAGGATAGAGAGCTACATTGATACATGTATGAATGAAAAACCAAATCTGTCAATGATGGAATACACATTCTGGATCCATATGTGTAATTCTACCTATAAATATACAAATAATACCAAAATGAATTATTAATAAAGTTGTTACTGAGATTGTAATTACTACTATTATTAATTTTAATATTTATTTATTTACTACTCAATGTATACACTGTTTCTGGTAAAATAAATTTCATTCAAAAATTACACTAATTTCAAATTATTAAAATAATTCCGTACAGAAACAAGACAAAAAACGTTTTTTTTTGTCTTGTTTCTGTACGGAATTAAGTATTTTGGTATGGCTTAGCTGTCATAACTTGTTTATGTCATGTTCTGTTAACTGTTAAAATCTCTAAGAAATCATTTTTTTAATCCAATATTAAAATTGAAAATTATCGATGTTTGAAAATGTGTAATAATCTACGAATGATGAGTGGAATGTTATTTGGAGAGAGATTTTTTTAACAAACAAAGCAACTTTTAAATAACCTCTTTCTCCCCTAGTGCAGTTAGGAACACTGATATGATCCCCTTCCACAAAAAGCTGTAAGGAAAAGATGGTTGTAAAAGACCGATGACTTTCTACTGTAACATTTAACCACACTGATATACATCTCACCTGTCTGGAAATTGTATTAACCTGAAATATATATTGTATTTTATGTGTCCAGCTGTCCACACTAAAGATTGCTTAGAAAACAAAAAACAAACCACCAACAACATCTCAGTAACAACAAATCCTAAATTAAACAAATGAAAACATGGACTATTGACAACAGTACTTTTAATTAGGTGACCATCACCATGGCAACTATTGTAACATTGTTTCTGGTTAGAGTATATAATTATTACACGTGTTAAAGTAAACTTGACAACACCATGGAAGATTGATCAGTCACTCAGTCAGTTCCCGCAGATATTGGCGATACAGCATACTCTGAAAATTAGTAGGTAGCATCAGACAAATACTTACACAAACCAAAGTCAAATAATTGTTTTTATGTCTTGTATTTGAAGACCACAATAATGTGAGTGAATAACAGTTAACAAATTTAAGATGTCATGTTTTTTTTCAAAATAAATTTTACATTTATCATAAAAATTTTATTGCTATCAATTCTGTTTATTATTATAATTATGAAACAATGAAAAAATAATAAAAATAACAACAAAAGTACTTTGGCTAGTATGGGCACTTATTGAAAAAGATATTTTATTTGAATTGTCAACTATTGTATACCTGTGAGAATGTCTTAGGTTATGCTTTTGTTGTTTGGAATCTTTGTATTATGTTAGTAGTTTTCAGAGCCTTACCTTTACTATAGTAATGTAGCCATGGTATGCCCTATTAATACAACCACTGTATTACTGACTACTTTAATTATAGCATGAATTATCCATTCAGTATGAGTGCCCAGACATCTACATTGATGTGTGATGACCCATAAATGTTCATTTCATATCCTCATAGTGTATTATATAGAAGAGTTCACAAGGAATAGAATTTCGCATATTAATGACCTTGTATGTTTCTTCGTAGTTTACATGAAATAAAAAGGAAATAAATAAATCTTGCATATTCATTTGTACATACATAAAATTGTCAGCATTCACTTATAAAAGTTTTCGCATCTCTGCGTCTAGTAAACTGAAATTGTCATATTTTTATCAACATTTATTTACTTTTATATAATTTTGATAAAATATTTTTAACCACAAGTAAGCGCTCTCAGATTGCTAGATGCTGCAGTTCCTGTTACTCTAACAGCGTCTCTCTCATTTGTTTTTAACTTTACTACAATTCTTTTATAACTTTTCACACTTTTAATCTAATTCTGGTGATATTGCATTGTTTTAATTAACACTAAAATCAGCTCACATGTAAGTTTTGGTAAGTTTGGGAATTTTTCAACAGCATTTTGTTAATGTGTGACATTTTTAGATTGGTGACTACAGTATAATCTAAACAAAAGGTATTGAAGATTTCTTATCGTAGCAATTAACTTGGCATGATGGGAAAATTTGGCAGAGGACCAAACTTAAAGCAATTATTATAATTTTCATGAACAAACTAAATACTGTTACCTTGTTCAAAATAATTTACTGGGGGCTTGGAAATATTTTAAAACAAGCTGCTGCTTCAAACTTTCTCTTATTTTACCGCCTGCAGTATAATATGGTTTCCTAGCAGCAGAGTGATTTATCATATACATGGAGTAAATAAATGGTTACTATTTACTTCTGTATCCTTACGCTAATATCCAAGTGTTGACAAAATATAGATCTATACAGACACGAACTTTGATAAATTTTCCAAACTTCTAAGAAATCAATCAAAAGTTAAGACATTGTAACAGTCAGCAATGATTCATTCATTTATTTTGCTTGGAATTAATATTTGAATTAAATCATTATTTACGCAACCTGGTTAGCATGGTACATTGATCGCGTTCAGTCTTGCCCTTGTGGATGGGTTGTTTTGTTGTTTCCATTTCTCACCACTAGGGGGGGCTTGCTAAGATATGAGTGGGGTGTTTAGTCCAGACTTTTATTATCCCTTGTTTCGCGAACCCGCCGAACAGAAGCTGAAAATAAAATAAAAATAAAATTTTATTTCAGCGTAATTTCTCGCGCTTGTAAGTGCAAAAAATTGCTAAAAAAAAATTATTTTTATCTTCATTGTTTTTCTGCCCACCACATAACATAACAAAACCAAGTTGCATTTTCGTGGGAATATCGTGATCAAAGTCCAAAGTCTTGCACAGATGAGAAACAAGGTTATACATGGAATAAAATTATGTTTCATTTCTTCTTTCTGATCAATGATCTGACTTACCGGTACAATTCTTTGAGAATCACACAAATCTAATGGAAAAAAGAATTAATTTTATTTTTTTTCTGCCCTCCTCAAAAAAATTGCCTTATAAAAACTTGAGAAACAAGGAATAAAAAAAGTCTGGCCTTAAAAATGAAATCATTTTGCTAAACAACCATTCATCCTTGTCTATTCGTCTTTATTTCATCACAAATCAAATGCTCTTCATTTTTCATTGCTTCTTTTTCATGTTGCCTCATGGATTGCCTTTACTGCAGGTATAGTGACTTTCAGTTTGCTTAACTTATCATACTCCTTCCACTAACTGCACCATGGACAAATAATTGTTGGATGTCCTTACCAAAAATCTTGGAATTTTATATTGTCTTATAAAACTTGTGTTGGATTCATATAGGAATTATAAATGGATTTCAATAGGACTTCGAGAAAGATTCCTATAGAAATCTCATTCATAGTTCTATAGAAATTTCAGAAGACAGAAAATCCATTCAAAATTTGAAAAGAATCCTGTAGGATTTCTATTGGGCATGTCCTATAGAAATCTCATACATGTAGAACCTTGAAAATCAATGGAAGTTGTTTAATGCCAGTGATTCATAGACAAATAGAAAGACTTAAACTTAGAATTATTGAAAGATTATGGCCATGTTTCCTGACAGGTGGTTGGATTGGGAGAGGAAATGAAGTATTATTGTTATAGCAAAATTCAGGTGGTCCAATTAGTAGAAGGAGTGTGGTAATTATGTTAATATTTCCGCAAAATTCTAATAACTAACATTTGAAACCTTTTTGTCAGGTCAGTGGGGTTATATGAATTCAGGAACATTTGCTTCCACTTTAATATATATGTGAATTATTTCTTTAATTTAATAACTGATTCCTTTATTTATTTCAGAACGGCAACACCGCTTTACACGAAGCATCATGGAATGGTTACAGTAAATCAGTTGATGTCATTGTCAATTATGGACGAGCTAATCTGCATGCTGGTAACCGGGTAAGATGACTTCAATCTTTTTTTAGCTCCGCTGTCGACTTTGTCGAGCGGAGCTTATCATATGAGTGATTGTCCGTCGTCGTCGTCCGTGTCAATGTTTTACTTTTTCGACTTCTTCTTGAAAACTACAAGCCTGAATGCTTTGATACTTGGTGTATATGTACCTTGGGTAGACCTCTCTCAGATTTGTTCATTTCATGATGATATCTTCAATTCTCTAATTTTGGTGAATATTTTTGTCATTTTTGGTAAAAAGTGATATTTTCGACTTCTTGTTAAAAACCGCAAGTGCAATTGCTTTGATATTACATATATAGGCACTACATGTGGACCTCTCTCAGATTTGTTCATTTTGTAATGATATCTTTAATTCTCTAATTTTGGTGAATATTTTTGTCATTTTTGGTAAACAGTGATATTTTCGACTTCTTGTTAAAAACCGCAAGTGCAATTGCTTTGATATTACATATATAGGTACTACATGTGTACCTCTCTCAGATTTGTTCATTTTGTGATGATGTCTTCAATTCTCTAATTTTCGTGAATATTTTTGTAATTTTTGGTAAAAAGTGATATTTTAGACTTCTTGTTAAAAACCAATTGTTCAATTGCTTTGATATTACATATATAGGTACTACATGTAGACCTCTCTCAGAATTGTTCATTTTGTAATGATATCTTTAATTGTCTAATTTTGGTGAATATTTTTATCATTTTTGGTAAAAAGTGATATTTTCGACTTCTTGTTGAAAACCG